GTGAAACTGGAGTTCTATTTCATTTTTATATAAGTTTATTTTTGAGAGAGAGACAGAAAGAGGGAGAGCACGCAAGTAGGGGAGGGGCAGAGAGAGAAGGGGGGAGAGAGAGAATCCCAGGCAGGCTCCACAGCACCAGTGCAGAGCCTGCTGTGGGGCTTGAACTCATGAAGCTGATCAGATCATGACCTGAGCTGAAGTTGGACACGTAACTGACTGAGCTCCCCAAGCACCCCTGGGTTCTACTGCTATCACAGATGGGTCATGGTGCAAAGCACTCCGACTGTGCCGTCACCGTGGACACTGAACTGCCCACTTCTCTTATCCACCAGCTGCACAGGCTTGGTCAGAGGTAGAAGGAGTGAGTGTCAAAAGCTGTAGTGAAACTATGCAGATGAAGGTGAGGAACAGGGCGGAGAGTTATTTTCAAACACCGGATACCAGGGAGTCCTGGCCCCAAGGATTCTCTAAGGAACACAGCTCGACTAAGGAAGATCAACTGACTTCTCAAATTCCCGACAAACTAAAAAGGCAAACACAAAATGCTCTTTCTTTCATGGAGCCTGGTGCTTAAGCTGGAGCCCACAGACCACCTGAGAACCTTCTCCTGAACAGCTATGAGGCAGGCCTGTGGCAAAGGAGAATCCAGCGCAGGCTTGTGGCCGTTGACAAAGCCACCACATCCTGGACAGACTGAAGGAACTGCTGACTGCCTGACACTGGGGCGACCTACAAGACGCTCTCTGTGAAGATGACCTGACAGTGCTGGGCAGAGGCCCTGGAAGAAGGGGGCAGTGGCCTGTCAGGGAGCCCCTGCTGGCCGGTCCAGGTTGTCACTGCACATCCCGGTGCTGAGGGTGGGGGCATGTTCTGGAGGAAGAGGGACCAAGAAGTGATCTTCAGGTGTGGTCGAAGGAATATTCCTTCCCCAGTAATAGAAGTGGAAACAGAAGGCCAATGACATTCCAGATGATTCAGTAACTAATGACAAAGAAATTAGCTCAAGGTACCTTAACCTTGGCACTCTGGACATTTCAGAACACATAATTAATTCTTCGTTGTGGAGGGCTGGCCTGCCCTCCACTAGATGACAGCGGCATTGCCCACCACGGCTTTGGCAACCCAAGCCGTCTCTAGATAATGCCAAGTGTCCCGTGAGGGTCAAAATCATCCCTGGCTGAGAACCACAGGTCTAGCTGTTTTCCTGGAACAATCATCCCCCGTGTCTGCTTGGCCAACTCTTAGGTCAGCCACCTCTTCCCAGTTTGCCCAGAACCTTCTGGGTCTTAGCAGGGTACCTCCCAGAGAGCCTCAGGCAAACGGGGACAGCTGGGCAGCATGCTAGCTCCTTCCATCTTCCTCACCAGTTCTATCCCAATGAACCCATGGATGCTGAACCCCGTGTGCGCTTACCACTTTCTCTGGTATTACTTAACTCATCTGTCCCTCCCCCTGTCTCTTCCCCCGCACCCCCCACCATAAGCTATTTCAGGGTCAGATCTTTGCTTTTTTCTTTGATGGGTCCTAAGTGCCTATAACAGCACCTGACACATAATAGATAATCAGTAAATATTGTAGCATGAGGATCAGAAATCTTACAACATTATGAGCATCTGTGACCTCTGTAATTTCTCCACCACTAGTTCTTTTCACTTCCCTCGTGTGTTGTGCGGCAGTATTTAGCAAGGAACCTTTCCCATGAACAGGGCCTGGGGGTAAGTCCTTGGGGATGGCTGAGACTGTGTCTCTGTGCTGCCTGGATAGGGGGTGTGGGGGTGTGGGGAGAGAGCCTGCGCCGGAGAGGTCGAGGGCCACGTTGCCCCTGCCAGAGCCCACCTCCCGGCATCCTGGGCGGGATTCACGTTCCAAAGCCTGGCAGTGTGCCGGATACAACAGAACCTCAACAAAGGTTTCCTGGCTTGAGTGCTTACAGGGAAATGACAGTGTCGTGGTTAAGGGCTCGGGCTTTGGAGTCAGGCGACACTGGGGTCCAATCCTGGCAGTGCCACAGACAGAGATCTGTCTTGTCTCGGTCAAACTCCTCCCCCTCCCTCGCGTCCCCATCTGTCAGCGGGAGATAAAAAGGATGCTCATCTTGTGAGCATCACAGCCTCCTGTTGTGAGGACTGGGAATGTGAGTCCCTGAGCCTACCCAGTGCCTCGGACAAAATACTCTGTAAGTGGGAGCTGACAGGGGATTTCTTCCCAGGAGAGTAACAAGAGGTACTGAACTCTTTACCTGCTTCTACATAGCAAGTCACCCTCATTTAGAGGCCGCAAAACAGCGGTGATCATTTATTGCCAGCTGTCATGGTGTCCGTGGCTGGGAAATGCGGGAGCAGTGGGCTCTGGGGTCTGGCTCTCGCTCAAGGATGGCCAGGGGTGTGGGACCCTCTGAGGCCTCCTCTGGGACTTAAGGCTCCTATCCCCAACTCGTTCTGTCATGGCTGCTAGTGACGCCATGGTTCTTCTCCGTATGGGACTCTCCCCATGGCCACCAGAGCATCCACAAGACAGTCTGGTGGCTTTCCTCAGAGTGACTAATCCAGGAGAACAGAGTGAAAGCCTTGTCTTTACGCCTCATCTTGGAAGTCACACATCACCAGCTCTGCCGTGCTGCTGGTCTCACAGACTGGCCGTGACTTCGTGTGGGAAAACTCAACAGAAGGCATGGATACCAGGGGGCATGGATCGCTGGGGGCCATCTCAGAGGCTGGCTCCCACAGATGTCATGCGGCATTTCATCTCAGGATCATGAGTGGCTTCATCCCGATCCTGACGATCAGGTTGCACTCCTACCTGCACCGGCATATCGGCAACAACGAAGTACATTGCTGGGCATGGTCTAACTAGCTGATTTAAGTGTCCATTTCCAGGGTAGTCTGTGCCGTAAGCATAGAGACTACAGCTTCTCCTTCACAAGGCCTCAGTGAATGTTACGGGTGAATGGACTGGAAGATGCAATGTTGTCCAGCAAGGTTAAGTTTTCAGTTTCTACTTTGTCCCTGAGTTCTAATGAGCTGAAGCTCAGACAGATTCAGAACCTCTAGGGTCCACATACAGTGCAACACAGGGCAAGATCTGGAGCTGGAGGTGGGGGCCAGGGGCATGGATGCACCCCAGAAGGTGTCTGCAGCCCACCAGGAAGGGGCCGCGGAGGCACGGTGAGGCCTCTGGCCCCGTCCTGCCCTGATCACATCTGTAGCTGAGCCTGTGTGGACAAGGGGAGCACAACTATCACTCCTCGCCTTCTTTCCTCGTTATTAGGGTTAAATCCAGGTATTAGGATGGTAGGTGATTTAAAAATTTTTTTAATGTTTATTCATTTTTGAGAGACAGAGAGACAGAGCACAAGCACGGGAGGGACAGAGAAAGGAGACACAGCATCTGAAGCAGGCTTCAGGCTCTGAGCTGTCAGCACAGAGCCCGATGCGGGGCTCAAACCCATGAACCATGAGATCATGACTGAGCCGAAGTTGGGTGCTTAACCGACTGAGCCACCCAGGCGCCCCTGGTAGGTTATTTTTACTTTCCTTTTGGAGCTTTGCTGTATTTTTCAGATTTACCACAATGAACATGCATCTGTTCAGTAATGAGGGAAAAAACAGGAAAAAATACACAGCTTACCAGAATCTTCAGCAAGGCTAGTCCAGACAGGGGCCCCCCTCTTCTGTAGGACAGACGGAGGTGGGCCTGACAGTCACTTCCCTAGAGTTTCCTCCCAGCTTGCTGAGGGACTCAATGAGTCATCTGTGAAATGGGGTGTTAACTTTTATTTCTCGTTTCACATGGAGGCGTGTGCAAGGATTAGTGAGATATCCTGGACAGGTGGCTGACATCTGGGGAGGGGGAAAAGTCACTGGAAGGCCAGACGGCCAACAGCAAAGGGGCAGAGTATGAGCTTGTTATTAGGGTAACACCGACCACCCCTCAAAACCGAGTTGTTACCTCTATTGCCTGAATAATTAATTGTACCCATTCTTTTTAACAGATTATGCCAGAAGGCACCTGACTTTGAGGCTCGAGTTTAATTATTATTATCGCTGTTACTGTAATCAGTAATATCTGATGGATTCTGGACTTAATTCTTTGCTACTGCATAATAGCAAAGTCCCTGGCAGCTGGCTCGGAGAGGAGCAAAATTCTCATTTTTCAGGAGAGACCTCTGTCAAACACACCGACACCACTGAAATCCCGAGATTCACCAGGCCTGACTGTCATAAGCATTCTTTCCCTGTTTCGTCTCCTGCTCCTGTTCCAGAAACAGCTTCTCAGTGTGAATTGTCATGACAACCTGAAGAGGGGACACACCGAGCGCAGGGACACAGGGTCCACGCGTCACGATGAAAGGGAGCCAGCCAGCGCGTCTTCGCTTTGCAGAGACCCCGGCAATATAAGGCCACAGTGGATTTTGAAGGTCACCCTAGGCCTTATAAATGGAAAGTGGGGTTCAAGGCTTCGCCACGCGGATCCTTCTTGGCCTGCAGTGAGGTCTGGAGGATGGACAGACTGTTCCGCTCAGAGGCCGCATGGGGTTATCACCTGCCGGCTCCCCACCCCCCAATCTGCCCAGTGGGTTTGTGGCTTAATTGTGCCTCACCACTGGGGTGAGCCTTGTGCAGAGAGGGGGGGCAGAGCCCCTTTGATTCTTCCCACCCAGAGCCACTGGAGAAAGCGGGCTGTTTATCACAGAAGGGCTGTGAAGAGCTTCTCAGAAAGCCTCGTGGGCTATTTTTGGGTAGCGAGTTTCCGCGCAGCATGGAACAGAGGAGTGCCAGCCGAGAGCGGGGAGAGAGCGCTGGCCTGACGTCTTCGCTCTCTGGCGATGCGGGCCATCCAATGAACCTCTGTGTTCTCTGTCACTGTCTGTAAAATGGAGAGTCTCCCGCCAGAAGGCAGAAGGCTCATTACATGCTCTCCGGAGGTCCCCGGGATCAGAAGATACCTGATCCCAGGAAACTGGCTTGTGCCATGGAAGGAACGGGGCCTCTGTTGGCGGGATGACCTGGACCTCCCGAGTCCCGGATCTACCACCCCCGCCCCTGGGTAACCTTAAGCAGGTTACACAAACGTACCTGTATGCAGCCTCCTCACAGCCTTTGCAAGGCTACAAACCTGAGGGTCAGTTTCCCTCACTGCACCCCCAGCCCCTCCCCCAGCAGACCCGTTGCTCCCCCGACGTCCCTCCAGCCTGCCCGCCCCCCTGCCCCCCACATCGCCACCCAGGGCCCTCACCAGCATCCTTGCCTGGAGGTCCACACCAGCTGCCCGCTGGCCTCCCGGCTGCCACTCCTGTTCACTGTCACGCCGCTCTGCACAACAGAATGAGCCTTGAAAGTGCAAAGCAGCCGCCTGTCTGCTCCAAATCCTTCAGTCAGCTCGCCCCTCAGCAGGTGCTGTTCTAAATGCTTTACCTACTTTAACTCACACAGTCCCCATAAGCAACCCTACAAGGTGAGATATCTACAACACAGACACATAGCTATAAATATATGTACACAGAGATATCATATCATCCCCATTTTACAGACAAGGAAACCGAGGTCGAGAGGAGTGAAGGGCAGGGCCTGGGTTTGAACCTAGGCGGTCTGACCCCGGGTCCACACGCTTAGCCCCACACTGCATTGTTCCGGATCCTTCACCAGCTCCTGCAATATCCTCACCCACCTTAGCTCTTTTGCTCTCTCTTTAACCGCATTCCACTCACAGAGACCTTCTGAACACAAGCTGAGCACATGCTGGCCCTCTGCCTAGGTCTTCCTCTCACCCACCCTCCCACCCACCTGGCTGAGTCCTCCCCCTGTCCCTCCTTGGCCTGAATATTACCTCCTCATAGAGGACACCCTGACCACCCAGTGCAGAGGATGGCCCAGTTGTAAGAGAGGGACTTGGTTGCTGTGTGGTTGTGGTCGGTCTCCCCAACCAGTCTATGAGATCCATGCGCACACACCCAGGCCTGTTTCCTTCACCCCGCTTCATGCGGGCACAGTGTGATGCCAGCACACGGGGTGATTCGTGTCTATGTGATGGACAGAGGATAGATGGGCATCCGCGCAGCGTTAGTGGGGGGCTCAGTACAGAGGCCTGAGGAGAGCTAGATGACACATCTCCACCCCAGGGTGGGCGTGCCTGTGAAAGTGTGCTAGCAAGCCATGAGGGCCGCCTGACACAGAGCAGGTGTCGGGGTGAGAACAGCAAGCAGACTCGAGGGATCCTGGCCAGGTGGCGAGGGGCTGCAAGTAGGGAGTGAGGGAGCCGGAATGTCCAAGATGGTGCCCTGTCTCAGGCTGGGGCGCTGGATGCAAATGAAGAGGAGACACAGCTCTGCTCCACAGCGGGTAACGTCTGGGTAAAGGAAAGACAGTCACGCTTAAATAATCAAAGAAATGGACAAGTGATAATAAATGTCATTAAAGGACAAAAAGGGAAGGAGGACAAAAATACTATCGAAACTTGTAAGCGGCTGAGACCGTTTCTGCTTGGGACAACCAGGGCAGTGCCATGCATGCGGTGGCCCCGTGAGCAGGTACCAGAACATAGGCTGACGTCACGAATCCCAAAGTGAAAATGGTGACATCTGGCTGGAAGGTGCCGTGAGTCCAGGGGAGCAACCTCAGGCGGAACTGCGCTGGCGGCTGCCTGGGCAGAGGCGAGGGGCGCGGGGTGGGAAGAGCAAACAGGAGGCTGAGATAAATGTGGGCCACGCTGCCTGGAGTGTAGCAGCGAGCCTTGGACCTCGCCACCTTCTCCCCACAAGAGGCAAGGGACATTCTGGATCAGAGCTCGTAGCCACTTTGCTATGAGGCCCACCAGTTCAGGGAAAGGAACCTCCTAGACCTTCATCCTGGACCACTGTTAAAATGCAGATGTAACTAGCTGGTCCGCACGTACTAAGGGGGCCTCATGGTCACCCATCCTGTCTGGTCCGGAGGACAATCCATTCCAGCTTCTGGGCTCAGTGTCCACACACTGTCCAGTTGATAACACTGCCTTTATGGGACCAGGCGTGGAACAAGAGAAGCACACCAGCCTGGCCGGTGTGTGGCTCTCCACTAACTCCAGCACCTCGGACATGTCAGTTATCCTCTCTGGGACAAGATTTTTCATATTTCAAGTAAGAAGGTTAGATTAAAATGGCACTCTTTCAACATTTTTAAAAATATAATTTGTCAAGTTAGCTAACATACAGCATATACAGTGTGCTCTTGGCTTTGGGGGTAGATTCCCGTGACTCCTCGCTTCAGTACAACACCCAGTGCTCATCCCAGTAAGCTCACCCAGTGCCCTCTCCAATGCCCAGCACCCAGTTTTTCAGTCCCTCTCTCCCACCCCCATCAACCCTCAAGTTTGTTCTCTGTATTTAAGAGCGCCTTATGGCTCACCTCCCTCTCTGTAACTATTTTTTTTCTTTCCCTTCCTCCATTCAACATATTGTTTAAACACTGGGACCCTTTTTTAAATAAAATAAAATGAACAAATATTTTAAAAACTGAAATCTTAAGTGAACTTCAATCTCAAGAGCAGGTAACAATGACACCCAACGGCTGAAACAGGGATGGGTGGGCCCGAGGCCACCTACTCCCTCTCCCCCAACCTCCCTCACCTCCCTGGCGCCAAAGAACGTGCAGGGCCCCGAGGAGCCCGAATGCCAACCCCTGACCCCACTGCCTGCTAGGAACACCCTGCAGATCCAGCTGACGCCCCTTGGGCGGCGTTCTTGGGGCTCCAGGTTCCCACTAGACTCTCTGAAGACATGTCTGAAAAGCTGACAGACACAGTAAGAGGTCTCAGTCAGGGCACGTCTGCGGGCCCCCAGGCGGCACCCATGGTCCCTAAGGGGGCGGGGATGCTGCCTCTCCTACCCACACAGTCCTCCCAGGAAGCCACAGAGCCCATGCCACGTACAGGCACCTGTCACTGAGCATCAACAGCTGTCCAGGAGCTGATACTTCAGCATCCCAGCCGGACGCCGTGAGGACTCACCCCTGCAGAGGCAGCGTGCTCTGAGCTGTTGAAACATGGAGCCTGCTCGCCCCGCCTGATAAATGACTGTTTGCTTTGGCAAGTTGTAAGCCAGGCACCAATGCTCAAATCACAGGCTGAGTATCCGCCTTGCGCCAGTCACCGACAGACAGACGTCCACGAATTGGAACGCCTCGGGGTAAGTGGTACTACTTTGCGGCTCAAAGCCTAGATAACCAGACAGACTTAGGGCAAATCCCCCAGCCTGTTTTCTCATCTGTAAAATGGGGGGAAATGATAAAGACACCCTAGGGCTGTTGTTTGGAATAAGTGAGAGAGCATATGCTCCTGTTACCGTGATTATTAATATCACTTGGACCTGTTTCCAAGTAGCTGCCTCCCTGTGAAGGCATCACACACAGAGAGCATGCATAGCTACAGAAAACACTAGAACAGCACCTGGGCCGTTTCTTAACCTGGATCTTATGCCCATCTGTCTGTTTTGAACATTAAATATTCTGAATATAAAATTATAGAGATAATCTGAGATTCTACAGGATATATGCCTGCCTCCAGATAGGATTTACTTTTGCTTTCAGTAGGCATGTGGGCCAGGGGCAGATTATCTTAACCCAGCCTGGACGAGCTGATGCAAAGCTGGCTTCGGTCTTCGTGAAGGCTCGTCCATTTCTGAATCACCCTTGTGCCTTTCAGTCTCCCCTCAGTTGCCCCAGTCAACAGCCTGGAGTGTTTCCTGAGCCTCGTCCTCCGTGGCAGGTGCTGAATGTACTGTTTTCCCAGCCTTGTGGAACTCCTATAAATTCTGCGCGGTTGCTCAGCCTCTCTGGCACGTAGAGATTGGCAAGCGCCTCAGTGGGGTAAGGACACAGAAAGCCCCTCTCTGTAATTCCCTTCTTTCCCTGGTTTTGGCTATTCAAGTCCTAGCCGCCTTGGTAGCTCTTTGATACCTTCAACTGAGTTTTAAAAAATATTTTACCCTGTTTGTCTAGTTGTTCTCAAGGTAGGGGTTGATCTGATACTAGACAGTCCACCATATTGTAAGGGAAAGTCTCTATATAGGTACTTTAAAAACTTGTCCTGTTTTCCTATGTGTCGTTAATTTAAGTCTTACTGGGATGGTTGGGAGTAGTGGGAATCTAAGTTTTACCCGCCAATCTCAGATCAAATTTCTTTTTTCTTTTCTTTTCTTTCCTTTCTTTTCTTTTCTCTTCTCTTTTCTTTCTTTTCTCTTTTCTTTTCTTTTAAAATAGTTTATTGTCAGATCAAATTTCTAAAGGGGCAGAAAGCTGGGAAGTGAGGAGGGTATTCAATCAGGGATTCACATGGCACAATGTCATAAACCAAAGGGCAAGGTCACACAGGGCTTGCTTTCTGGAGCTTTCCTCAACAGATGAATTCTGAAGGCACTTTTTTCCTCAGCAAGTCAACAAACTAGTTTGATTAATGATCACTTTTCTGCCAAAAAATACAGTTTAGAAACTAGGGAAGAGAGCCACCTCCTGGTAAGAAACATGGCGGTGTGTTAAAGACTCTGGGAGACTTATGGACAAACCCTGTGGGTCCCGGGGGAAGTTGGGGTCTGAGAAGGTGCTCAGACCGAGTGGACTCATCCCTGTCTTCACCTGCCCTTCAGTGAGTGCAGCACTTTATCCATTTTATGCATTGGGTTTCTGAGGAAGGTTTCCACCGCATGGAGTCTGAGAAGCTGTTCCACCATCGAACCACTCACAGAGTTCAAGGGCTTCTTATAGAAAAACTGAGTCCCCAGGAGATAACTTTGCTAGGATCTCACAATCATTCCTGGTAAAGCTCGGGCAAACCCCAGCTGTCCTGACCCTAGCCCAGGCACTTTATACCACCCTAAATGATGCTAGTGTGAGATTCAGTTTCCCAAAAGTTCTTTGCTTAAGAACTTTGCTTTTTATTTCTTTTAAATATTTTTTAATGTTTATTTATTTTTTAGAGAGACAGAAAGAGCGGGGAAGGGCCAGAGAGTGAGGGGAACAGAGCATCCAAAGCAGGCTCTGCACTGTCGGCACAGACCCCGATGTGGGGCTCGAACCCACAAACTGTGAGATCATGACCTGAGCTGAAGTCAGACACTTACCTGACTGAGCCACCCAGGCGCCTAAGAAAAGGGGCACCATCCTGTGCTCTTTTTGTGAAGTTTTATAGGCTTTTCTCACAAACTCCACCCAGAGGACATGCAATGAATGTGGCCATTGGCATTTTCCTGTCGGAAACCAAAGGCAGCAAAGCTAACTGGAGGCACAGTGGTGGTCTGCCTCAGACAGACCTGGGAGACTATGCTTGTCCTAGCTTTTCTGACTCACTGTGTGACATGCACAAGTCACACCATCTCCCTGGTCCCAGTTTCCTCCCCATAAAAACCAGAAGAAAACCATAAAAACAAGAGAAAACC